GGTAGTCTGAGAATGTGCCAAACTGTACATCTCCCTCTCTTATTTCCACTCTTATATTGAACAGGGATCACTTTTCAGTTAATTGTAAACACCTAAGAATAATTGTATGTTAATTAAAGTGTTCAACCAATGGTATTAAGTAGAACAAAAAATACTAAAAGGAATAATATAGTAAGTTGTTCCTTGACAGTCAGGACAAGGGCTGATCAAGTCATTGTTTCTCATAGTGTCCATTTCACTTCTACAGGTTTCCTTTTAGGTGCTTTATTAGTTTCTGTTTTTAAGGCTCTCAAATATGTTTTTTATTTGTTCTATTGAATTCTTCATTTCATTTTGATTTCTCTTCAATATCTCAATTTCCTCGTTTCATTTTGATTCCTCCTTAAGATTTTATTTTCACTTCAGAGATTTTCTGTCATGTCTTCCATGGATTTCAGTAATGTATGCATTTGTTTTTGATAACTTCTAAATGTTCTTATCATAAATTTTTCAAGTTCCATTTCTTGCATTTCTTCTATCTCATCATATTCATAATCTTGTACTGGAGTGTCATATTCTTTTGGGATAGTCAGGTTGTCATCCTTGTTCTTATTTCCTCTGTTTTTTTTTTTTTTTGTTGTTTGTTTGGCATTGTGGAGATATTCTTTTCTTTTTCTGCTGTGGCAGCTTTCTCATACTCTGACTGTAGTGGACTGTCTGCTTTAGGTGAATCTCTAGAGGTTTGTGCTGGGTGTGGCCTGAGAGCTCTGTTTAGTTCTTCAGGGTTAAGGGTGTGCCAAAGGTGACACACCCAGGTTTGGCATGGTAAATCAATCTCTCTCTCTCTCTCTCTCTCTCTCTCTCTCTCTTTTATTCTTAATGGAAGTAATTCCACTCAGCTGAGCTCTTCTCCTCAATGGCGATCAGTGCCTGAGTGGTAGCCCAGTGGGTATAATATTCATCTGCTCTGTCCCAAGGACCACACAAAGGATCTGTGCAGTCCTCAATGTAAGCTCAGATTCCCCTGCAGTGTCTCTCCCCAGGTTACCAAGGCCGCCCGAATTTGTGGCGTTTCCCACCAAAACTACTCACATCTCAGCCACATCGTGAGTTCTCTCACACACTCTGTTTTTTTTTTTTTTTTTTTCACAGTCCCAATTCATAAGCTCCACACATTCACTAGGTCTTAGTCTCCTGTTATTACTCCCCACCAGAATCAGGGTTTCATTTTGGATGAGGGCAGGCTCAGCTGGAGTTTGTGCAACTGTTAAGTATGTTCAAAAGGGCGCTTGCTCTATTGTCTTGCATGCCTTTGTAAGGTGAGTGGAGAGAGAGAATCGTGTCTATGTCATCCCTTGTATTTTTTTCTCTCCTCTAGTTAGGTTGGTGTACTTTCCCCCATGGGGCTTCAAGCTTCATTCCCTCCAGGCTTTTCCTGCTGCTTTTCTGCCAGTGTCTCGGGCTGCTACGGTTTCATCTCACCTCTCTTTCCAGCGCTGGTGCGGAGGAGACTCTTGGAAGCTGGGGTCCCAAGCCTTGGGAGCCCATGCCCTCCACATAGATCCACAATGTCCCTCTAATTCCAGAAGAGTTGCCTCTGCAGTTTTTTCCCTAACTCTTCCCTGAGACTACACTATCTCCACTTTTATAAAACTATTTTTTCCTGGACTATCAGTGAGCTCCCTCCCTACTCTCCCTCTTGGAACCTCTCTCTCTCTCTCTTTCTCTTTTTATTTTTTCATTTTTTGTGTGAGTCTTCTTCTATTTCTTTCTTTAATGTTTATAATTTTCAATGTAGAGATCTTTCACCACCTTGGTGACATGCATGCCAAACTATTTAATTTTTTGTAGCTATTATGAATGGGATTGTATTTAGAAGTTCTTGCTCAGCAGTGGCATTTGTGTGTATAGAAAGGCTATTAATTTTATGTATTAATTTTATATCCTGCTTCTTTACCAAACTCTTTTATGAGCTCTAATAGTCTATCAGTGGATTCTTTTGGATCTCCTATACATTGAAGAATCATGTCATCTGCAAATAGGGATAGTTTGACTTCCTTCTTTCCCATTTTTATCCCATTGACTTTTTTTTTTTTTTTCCTAATGGCTCTGGCAGTGGTGACAGTAGGCATTCTTGTCCGATTTCATATCTTGGTGGGGATGCTTCTGGCTGTGCATTTGTCATAAATTGCCTTGATTGTATTGAGGAATGTTCCTTCTGTACCCAGTTTTCTTAAGGTTTTCATCATGAAATTATGTTGTGTCTTTTAAAATGCTTTCACTGCATCTATTGAAATACTCATAATTTTTATTCTTTATTTTGGTAATGTGATTTATCACATTTATTGATTTGTGAATGTTGAACCATCCCTGCATACCAGGGATAAATCCTATTTGTTCTGGGTGAATGATCTTTCTGATGTGCTGTTGGATTGGATTAGCTAGTATTTTGCTGAGGAGTTTTGTATCTGTGTTCATCAAGGATTGGTCTATAGTTATCTTTCTCTGTTGTATCTTTTTCTGGTTTAGGAATTAAGGTAATATTGACCTCATAGGAGGAGTTTGTTAAGGTTCCTTCTCTTTCAATTTTTTTGAACAGCTTGAGAAAAATTGGGATTAGTCCTTCTTTAAATGCCTGGTAGAATTCAGCAGTGAAGTCATTGGGTCCTGGGCTTTTCTTTGTTGAAAGGGTCATTGTGGGGCCAGTGCTGTGGCACAATAGGTTAATCCTCAGTGTGTGGTGCTGACATCCCATTATGAGTGCTGATTCTAGTACCAGCTGCTTCTCTTCTGATCCAACTCTCTGCTATGGCCTGGGAAAGTAGTAGAGGATGGCCCAGGAGCTTGGGCTCATGCGCCCACATTGGAGACACCAATGAGGCTCCTGTCTTTGGATTGGCCCAGCTCTGGCAGTTGTAGCCATTTCGGGGAAGACCTCTTTCTCTCTGTCTCTCCCTCTCAAATAAATAAATAAAATCTTTAAAAAAGGGTCTTTACTACTGTTTCAATCTCCATCTTTATTATTGGCCTGTTCTCTCTCTCTCTCTCTTTTTTTTTTTTTTTTGGTAAGTTGAGCTAATGTACTATCAACTTTATTTTTTCCCAAAAACCAGCTCTTTATTTCACTAAGTTTTTGTATTTTTTTGTTTCAATTGTGTTTATTTTTTCTCTAATTTTAGTTATTTCTCTTTTCCTACTAATTTGGGTTTGGTTTGTTGTTGTTTTTCTAAGTCTTTGAGATGCTTTGATTTCTCATTTATTTGATACCTTTCCAATTTCTTGTTGTAGATAACAATTGCTATAAATTTCCCTCATAATACTGCCTTTGCTGTATCTTATATATTTGGATAGGTTGTATTGTCATCTTCCTTCATTTCTAGAAATTTTTTTCCTCTTTTGATGTCTTCTGTGACTCACTGTTTTTTTTTTTATTTATTTTATTTATTTATTTATTTTTTGACAGGCAGAGTGGACAGTGAGAGAGAGAGACAGAGAGAAAGGTCTTCCTTTTTCCATTGTTTCACCCTCCAATGGCTGCTGCGGCCGGTGCGCTGTGCTGATCCGAAGCCAGGAGCCAGGTGCTTTTCCTGGTCTCCCATGAGGGTGCAGGGCCCAAGCACTTGGGCCATCCTCCACTGCACTCCCTGGCCACAACAGGGAGCTGGACTGGAAGAGGAGCGACTGGGACAGAATCCGGTGTGCTGGCGCCGCAGGCGGAGGATTAGCCTAGTGAGCCGCGGCGCTGGCTGACTCACTGTTTATTCTGGAGCATATTCTTCAGTTTCTTTGTGTTTGCATATTTTCTAGACATTCTTGAATTAATTTTCAACTTCATCCCATTGTGTTCAGAAAAGATGCATGGTATGATTTCAATTTTTTTTTTTGAAATTGCAATCTTTATTGCCTAGTGTATGATCTGTCCTAGACAATGTTCCATGCACTGATGAAAAAAATTTTAAGGAACTACTGAAACAAATTTCCATGGGGAGCAAGCACCATTTTCTCAGCTAAATAGCACTATTATATCTATAACTTAAAGGCTCTTATGACTTGCAAGCAGAAAAGTATCTCAAAACTAAGTCAGAATATTATCTTTATTTTCTGTTTAGCTCATATATACTCACATATTTATATATTCTTCACAGAGAGTGAAAGCAAGGTATGTGCCGCCTAGTGGATTTTTTTTTGGTAGTTTCCCATTGTACCTGAACATTTACTGAGTTTCTATTTGCAGAATAATTCCTAAGGGTTTGAGGTCTCCATTGATATATGCAGAGTAAGATGAAATTGCTCTTCTTGGATATCTGTGCACACATTATGAATTACCAGTGATATTTTAACTGTTTAAAGATGATCTTTGGGGCCGGTGCCATGGCTCAATAGGCTAATCCTCTGCCTTGCAGCGCTGGCACATCGGGTTCTAGTCCCAGTCGGGGCGCCGGATTCTGTCACGGTTGCCCCTCTTCCAGGCCAGCTCTCTGCTGTGGCCAGGGAGTGCAGTGGAGGATGGCCCAAGTGCTTGGGCCCTGCACTCCATGGGAGACCAGGAAAAGCACCTGGCTCCTGGCTTCGGATCAGCGTGGTGTGCCAGCCATGGTGGCCATTGGAGGGTGAACCAATGGCAAAGGAAGACCTTCCTCTCTGTCTCACTGTCCACTCTGCCTGTCAAAAAAAAAAAATAAATAAAAAAAGATGATCTTTGCTACTCCTACTTGATTTTGTTTTTATCACATGCATACATATTGTTGCTAAAATAGCAAGTAATGAGCTTTCAAGAGTGTATAAATCTAAGTGGTTTAATTAAATTTCTTGCAAGTCATATAAGGAACACTCCCACCTATTATATGTTTTTTTTTATTTCATCTTTGGCTTTGTTGTCAGTTTTCATTAAAATTGACCAAAGGATTGACCCATTTTTATGTTACAAATAGATATTCTAAATATTCCCTAATAAGTGTAAATATTCTTGATACAGTGCCAAGCCTAAAGCTGAGGCTTAAATTGTAATGCCTTCCATTTAGCTTGAACAGGTGGACAGTCAAAAAGAAAATGAGAGGGATCTCAAAGAAGAAATGCATAATGTAGCAAAAGGCAATTGAAGAAGGATAGCCAACAGAGGACCATGCCACCAGGGAAGCAAATCAAATAGCTCACTCTGGATTTTCAATTCATCACAGATCTATGTTCTCTCTGACCTACAGAGACAAGGTAGGTATATTTTTCTTCTACTCTAAACTGGAAAGCAGGCTCCAAGTTGGAGCAAAGTTCTGTGTGTAGCAGGGCTGTATCCCAAGATTGGCTGTAGATAAACAGATTGCTTTTAAGACTTACCTTTGGAGCTAGTCATCTCCAACCGACCTGTATTCAATGACATCTTTGACTACTTTTACAGGTTGAGCAATTTACTTAGCATTTTACATTATAGGTATAATTCCAGAACAAATGCCATACGATTTTTGTGTGAGGGTTCCTTAAGATATGTAGTGCAGTAGAAACAGCATCTTCTAGGGACGCATTCTATATCAGTGCTGGTTATTATTATTAGGAGTGATTTGTTGTCATTCTGACTAGTAGAATCTTTTTGTTTTTTGAATTTTTTAAAAAATAATTATTTTAGAGAGTGAAACAGAAGAGGAGAGGGAGGAGAGAGAAAGACAGTTTATTGGTTTACTTCCCCAAATATCCATGGCACTTTGGGTGCTGAAGCTGAGAGGCAGGAAATTAATCCATGTCTCCCACATGGATAGTACAGACCTATCCATCATCTGATGTCTTCCAGGGTATGCAGTAGCAGGAATTAGAAGCAGAGCTGGGACTTAAGACTTGGTATTCCAATGTGAGTCATGGGCATCCCAACTGGCATCTTAATCACTAGGCTACTAGACCAAATATCCACTCTTTTTTTTCTTTTTAAAAACGTTCTTATTGATGCATTATTAGCATTCCAGATAGTTCACCATTTAAAGTGAAAATTTGATGTTATTTAGCATGTTCAAAAATAAGTGCAGCCATTACCAAAGTCAATTAAAGAATATTTTCATCATCTCAAAAAGAAACCCTGTACCCTTTAACTATTTAACAAATAATCTTTCTACTCCTATAGATTCACTTATTATGGAAATTTCAAATGAATGGAATCACAGAATATGGCTTTTGAGACTGAGTTCTTTCATTTAGCATGTTCTAAAGATGCATACCTGCTTCAGAAATTCATTACTTTTACAGCTGATTAATATTCTGTTGTAAGCATATATCACATTTTGTTATCCATTCATCAACTGATGGATACTTGGGTTGTTTTAGCCTTTTGAGTATTATTAAAAATATTGCTATAAACAGTTTTTGCGTATATACATTTTCATATCACTAGTTGAGGAGTGAAACAGCTGAGTCATATTTTAACTCTGTGAGGAACTGCTAGACTATTTTCCAAAGTATGTTAATCATTTCTGAGTCCCAACAATGTTCAAGAGTCCTGATTTTTCTACATTGATTAAATCTTCTGTTTGTTTACGAGTGAAATGGTACTTAGTATCACTTGACTTCAAGGAAGTGCAAATTGAAATGCAATACCTATTAAAAAAAGACAAAAAGTAACAAGTGCTGGCAAGGTTGTGAAGAAAAGGGAATTGTAATATATTATTGGTGGGAATGTATAGTAGAACAGCCTTCATGGGAATAATATGGAGGTTCTTCAAATAATTAAAATAGAACTACTGTATGATCCCACAATACCACTGCTGTGTATACACCCAAAAGCAACAAAATCTGTCTGTCAAAGAGATACCTATACACCCATGATTGTTGCAACACTACTCATGTCCATCAACAGATGAATGGATAAAGAAAATGTGGTATATATGCATAACAGAATTTTATTCAGACATAAAAAAAGAATGACATTCTGTCATATGCAGCAGTATAAATGGATCTGGAGCTTATTAGGTTGAATGAAATAAACTAGGCATAAAGAGAAAAATACTACACATTATCACTCATACCTAGAAGCTAAAAAAGTTGATCTCATTGAAGAGGAGTTTAATAGTGGTCACTAGAGGCTACGAAAGGGTCAAGGAAGAGGGAATTAGAAAATGATTCGATAATAGATATCAATATGCACTTAGATAGGAATAAGTTCAGATGTTCATTACACAGTACAATGGCTATATATACCATATATGTAAAAAAGCTAGATCAAAGGATTTTGGATATTTTTTCACAACAAAGAAATGTTAAATGTTTGAGGGTATAGAAAATTCTTACTCTGATTTAAATATTAGATACTGTATATATGTATTGAAGCATCATGTAGTACCACATAAATATGTGTAATTTTTATGTGTCAATTTAAAAATAAAAATCATTCTACTTTAAAAAAGTGAATTGAATACAATTTAAGTCTACCAAAACTTCACAAGGACTTAGATTGGCAGAAGTTAGAGTTGGGTCTTATAAGATTTTAAGGCATTCACAAAAAGATAGTGAGCTAAAATTATAGATCTTTGATTTTGGAAATTTTGACATCTACAGTATTTTTATCATAAAATTTTATACCATGAACTTATAATTTGTTATGCACGCTATTATACTTTTGAGAGTAAAAATGAATCTATCGATAATCATACTGAAATAGCAAGAGTAAGCTGAACTATTTTCCATACCTCACTATAGGCTCACTCATTTGGAGTTATTTTACTTGTTTCTTCCAGCAGAGGTGATGGATTTTTCTTGACCTCTGTTATAAGCAGGATACATGAATATGCATACATGCTGGATTAAGCTAAATATTGGGTCTCCCTCAGAATGAGCCAAAATAACTGATGCGCACAGGAAAAAAAATCCTAGCTTTTTCAGTGGTTTGTGTGGTTTTTACAATTAAGCTGAAGTGTATTGCATCATGGAATTTACATTTTCTTTAGTGGCTATGCTTTTAAGCACTTAAGTTTACTGCATTTCATCTCTTACTACATTTACCTCCCAACCCCAAGAATGACTATTACAGTGTTAGACACGTACATGCAGTCCCCCAAAAATGTATACTCAAAAATAATTCACATTTGAGTGCTTAGATTTATAAGAACAATACAAAGGGATCATTCTTCATATTTAGGGAACAAGATTTTTAAAATAAACTCTTGTGTATCTTCTCTTCTCCTGTCTCTCTTTGTTTCCCCTCTCATACCCTTTACATCATAGTTCCTGAAAAACAAACAAAAAGCTTACCTCCACATCCTTATAGTATGGTCTGTAGTAAAAAATGTTATTAACTGGAGTTCAAGTTTTGATGGCCAACGTCCATTTGACGTTATGAAGCTGTGTTTTGGCAGAGTACCACTGAGAACTTGAACAGACAGAGAGACAGCTCTTCTTTCCCCCTGGGAGTGAAGTACTGAATACCATATTTCTGCCCTAATTCACTCTCTGGAGGAGCTACCTTTGCCAGCAGCAGGAGAAGACTTATAGTCATTAAAAACAACCGTGAGAAAAAGTCAGAGAGGGAGGAAAATGATGCTGTCCCCTTTGAATACACAGGAGGGTTTCCACAAGAACACTTGCATTAGGTGAAAGCTTGACCCTCAAGTAGTTGCCTAGGTCAACAGGACCTGAGGCCATCCCTTGTGTAAGGTTCGGTCAGGTAAGTTAAAGCCGCCTTCAGGGCACTCTCAATTTAGACACCAATTTCCTCAAGACTAAGAAAAGAAAGCAGTGCTGCATGAGTCCAACTTTATCTGTTGCTTTTTTTCCTTTTTTCCTTTGTTCCTGTGAGATTGGTGTATTTAAGAGAGAGTAACTTCAAATGACTGGGCACTTTATACAAGGATGTTGCCTCCTGGTCTGACCGTGGACTAACTCTTCAGCAATTCCAATGCATTCTTTGGTTCCGGGATGGCTACATACAATTTTTCAAAACACATTTTTACTTACAACCCCGATAAATTCTAGGTTTTCTCCTTACCATGAATTTTAGAAATATTTTCTCTGTGCCACATTAGGTCCAGGGGAAAGTGTTGTCTGTTATTACAATTTCATTTTCCAATTCTCAACTGGTTTCATGTCCAGTTCTTTCCCTCCATTTAACCCTGAAACTGCTCTGTGGTACTTTGGTTTGATCGGACTCCTAGCTTGAAAAATCCAGAATATGTTCTTTTTTTCTCCCAAGACACAATGTATGCTATGTTCATTAACTGTCACAGTAGGACATTTTAGGAACTACTGTTATATATATATATATATATATATATATATATATATAATGTTCTCAAAATGAAGAAAAAAGAAAATAAAGTACTCTGTAGTTATACTACCACTGTCAAGGTTAACCAGAATTTTGCTTTGAATACAATTTGGTGATCTTAATATATTCACTGAATCTCTTTGGTATATTTGAATTTCATGATTTTAAGAAAATTTATACCTTTTGGGCTTATATGACACTGATGTTTGTTGATTATCCTTATAGTTCTGTGGTTATTTTTCTTAGTCACAGATGGTTTCTCTTTTCCAGTGCATTTCAGCATTTCACAATTTTGTGCTTGGAGTACTGTGTTTCTCACAGTAACATACTGTAGTATTCAGGCAAAAATTGATTGTGGCAAAACTGAGGATTAGAGTTGTCCACAAAAATTTCCTAAGGTCTCACATTGTAGAGGAACATATACATTTCAGTAACTTTAAGTACTTTTTTTCTAGTATTGAAACTAATCACTATTCATGCCCAGATGAATAGTAGCTTTCTCTTAAGCCTATGTTATATAAAGATTAAATAACTTTTAAAGATTATAAAGATATATACCAGTGCAAAACATTAATATAGGACAGGTATATGAATATTGAAATCAAAGAAGGATCTATTTCCTCTGAAATGGCAGTTGGAGTCACTGCTCTTAGGAAGTTGTGATTTCTTCCTCTCTTGTAAAGCATGTGAAGTTGAATTTGTAATAGTAAAGGATGTGTGTGATCAGTTGCTGTTACTCTACTAGGAGATTTCTGTCCAAGCCAACAATGTTGTGTACCACCATTTCGTAGATGCATATGGAATACTAATATTTGTATTAATTTAATTTTGCACTTTTGATGGTATCTGGTAGATACTACAACCACAAGAACATACAGAAAACAATTGTGGTTAACTACCTCTTATTATGCATATTTACTAAATTCATTCATTAATTATTTAAATTGACTATATGGTTGGATGTAAGGCAAATATTAGAGGTTGCAGGGCAAACTAAGTTTAAAAAATTTCTGTTATTGGAGGTTATAATTTTATATACAATGGTAAATGTATTTATGCTTTTTTAAAAAACAAAATTTATTAAGCATTGACTATATATTAAGTACTTTGCAGAACTCTGAAAATATAAAAAAAGGTCTGATTTCGTAGGGCTTCAAATTTATGATTAGTACAAGAAGGGAAATGAAAAGACACATAAAATGATTATTACAATGCTATGGATATGTGCAATAGAGCCACATAATGAGTCATATGGTATTAGAAAAGAAACACAGTGTTGTTACAATAAATTAATCTTTATCAAGGAGGAGTAAGAAAATCCTGACCTAATAGATCTTTTACTTAAATGACTTAATTGTTGATTCCATTAATTTATTATGCCTGGAATGGTCACTTCTGTAAAAAAACTATTATATGAAGTTTTTTGTTTAAGGATGACTTTATGATAATCAGTAGCACGTTGACTGGGACTTGGATACAGTCATTATTTTAGTTCCGGGAGATAGTTACATAAGTGAGCTACAAGATCATAAACCAAAAGATGAAAACATAAATCATGAGCTATAACTTATGATTTCTCAGCTGAGCATGTTGTATGATAGGGAAATGGAGAAAACAAGACTGGGTGGCTAAATTGAACACTATGGAATAGTTTCAAGCTAGATAGAATTTGTACTTTATCAACTATCTATCCATCCAGCTCAATGACTTGTTACTCATTTGCATTGCAGTTACTGTGCTATGTTCTGAAGACACATTTTTAAAAAGATAGAAGAACAAAACGTAGTTAATACTCTCATCATGGAGGAGAAAACATAAGCAAAATAAGAAATACAACATAATCTCATAACTGACATAACATAAAGAAGAGAATCTGGAATCTGTCTCTAGGAGTCAAAAAGTCTGCACTAGTGTGAATAGGTCTGTCCCAAATTCAGGTGTTGCCAATGTGATGGTATTAGGAAGTGAGGCCCTTAAGCGGTGAATAGGCCATGAGGGTTTCTTCCTCTAGGATCAGATTAGGAGCCCTTGTAAAGGGTTTGATGAAAGGAGTCCTTCTGCATTTTGATATATGAGGACACAGTGTTCCTGCCCTACAGAGGACTCAGCATTCAGAGCGCATCATTGAAGCAGAGATCAGGCCCTCATCAGTTGGTGAATTTATTGTGACCTTCCTAGTCTCCAGGATGAGGAAAGAGGAGTAGTGATTCTGGCTGATGCAAATAAACAAGAATGTTTGAGTTTTTCCCTCTAGCTTGGTAGGCTCTTGAAGGGATTCTTATGGAGGATCATTATGCTTTAACTTGTGTTTTATAGATTTGACTCTAGACAATATGTGAAAGATAGCTTGCAGTGACAAAGCTAAGATCAAGCCTGGCTGCAGAACCAGTTCAAAGGGTATTGTACCAAAATGTGGTAGCAGAATTGGAGATGTAAGAGATATAAGGAACAGGAATTAAAGTCAAGAAGCAGTAAAATGAATGTAGCTTCTGTCTTTCTTAGGTTACTGAGTAAATAGAGTCACCATTAGGTCATCTAACTGGTGATTTTGCTAGATTGGATCAGGTACTCCTAAGCTGTAGAGTTATAGAAAACTTCTTTTCAACAAGAATGTTTGGTGTAAATTGATAGATACTGGGGATTTTCTTGGACAAAGGGACAAGATCTAGAACAATGTTTCCCAAATGAAGCATAAGAAACTACAGACAGTGGGGCAGATGGCATGAAGTTAGGACAATGAAATAAATGGCCAGTGTTAGTTATTATATCTTCTTTATCTATCATAAGCTCAAGATTAACCAGAAAAGCAAGAGTGAGATGAGATTCAGCCACATATTTTGAAAACTCAGTTTTTCCTATAGAAATAGACAAGCAATCAGTCTTTATGCATTTTACATATATGGATTTTCCAAAGTATTTGTTGATAGTTAAAGTACACAAATTTTTACTATTCCATTTTGTAAAAAATGCTGACAATTTGCAAATGGAAAATAATGTTTCAATGAGACTTTTCATGCAAATTCTAAAGAGGAGAGATTCTAGAAAATACCCTAAATTACTTTATTTCATTGAGAAATTTCAAAAATAAGAAAAATATGTAACATTATACACAAAAGTAATTCATGCTAATGTATATGAAGAAAAAATTTTATGAATCATTATTGTCTCATGCTAAAAAAGTTAATGTGGGTAAATGGTTTGACTTGCTATGTATTTAAATTGCAAGAAGAATGAAAGATTGATTTTTTTATTTGAAATGTGGACATGTATTTTTGGAGAGTGCATACTTTCTTGATTTTTTCCAGGTTTTATTAAAACATGAAGCAACAACCATCATCAGTCTATTTAGAAGAAACTTGTTGCAATGAACATCTGTTGGTTTTGCTAGTGAGCATTCATACAACCTTGCTTAGCAAAAATTTCCTTTGAAAATGACTGTTCCTCCTACTCTAAGCATTAAGATTAAAAGATAGAGTTCATATCCAGCTCTAGGAATGCATCCCAATTGGAATGATGCAACCAGTGCTGATGAAAATGAACAGTTTAAGTTTGGCTATACAACACAGAAGAGGTAGATGAAGTTTATTAGAATGAAGGTGCTCTTCTTTCTCTTAATGATGCTGAAGGAAACAGCTCTAACTCTTCTTTTGGGTAGTGGTGTAGTAGGAAGAAATGAGGACTTGGATTGGCGCATCCATTTTGCTTTGATGGTATGGAGAGCTGAGAGGTTCTTGGCCACCTTCACATAAAACCTGTGGCAAGAAGACAAATACTTTAGTTGAGAAGTTATCTTTCTATTCATATTTAGGAGTGTCATGGGGCAACAGTATGGTTTGATCTTTAATAACTTGAGGAACTTAACCTACTAATACTAACATATCTCTGTTATTGCTGATGATTCCAGATGCTGAATAGGAAAGGAGAATTATTAGAGAAGTCATTTTAATATTATAATAAAGGTAAACAATAGGGTTGCTTTTATATGAAATGTAATACAGTTAAGTTATGATCAGTTTAAGAACGGAGTGAAAGGCAGCATGTGTATTTGAGTACATAATCAGCCAAAGAGCATTGAAAGCTGGTGTAATCTTTTTTAGAAAATTTCCAAAGATTAAATACCTTACTTTACAATTTTCCAGTAGAAGCAATATTTATAATTAAATACCAAATGATGCGTCATCTATACAATTTTTATGCTCTGTTATATTAATGTCCACAAATAATAGAAAACATGTCATATTTGTATTTCTGGGTCTGGTTGCAGCCATTTGTTGTGAATGTCAAAATTTATTTATTTTTATTTTTATTTTTTTAACTTTTATTTAATGAATATAAATTTCCAAAGTACGGCTTATGGATTACAATGGCTTCCCCCCCATACCGTCCCTCCCACCCACAACCCTCCCCTTTCCCACTCCCTCTCCCCTTCCATTCACATCAAGATTCATTTTCGATTATCTTAATATACAGAAGATCAGCTTAGTATACATTAAGTAAGGATTTCAACAGTTTGCTCCCACACAGAAACATAAAGTGAAAAATAATAGATGATTTTTTTTAAATGATGATGAAATCAGATCAGACCTATTGTCATGTTTAATCCCAGTGAGAGTCAAGTTGGGAGTTGATAATTTCTTTTTTTTTTTTTTTTTTTTTACAGAGGATCAGTAATATGCCATTATGTATATATATCATATTTTCTTTATCCATTCATCAGTTGATGGACTTCCAGGTTGATTCTATATCTTTACTATTGTGAATTGAGCTGCTAGAAACATTGGACTGTAGGTATCTCTTTCATATGCTGATCTCATTTCCTTTGAGTATATTCCCAGGAGTGAGATAGCTGGGTCATATGGTAGATCTAATATTTTTTTCTGAAGAATATCTATACTGTTTTCCACAATGGTTGTACCAATTTGCATTCACACAAACAGAATTTTAGGTTACCCTTTCTTACCCACATCTTTGCTAGTGTTTCTTATTTGTTGATTTTTGGTAATAGCTATTCTAACTGGGATGAAGTGATACCTCATTGTGGTTTTTATCTGCATTTCTCTGATGGCTAGTGATCCTCAGCATTTTTTCGTGTGTCTGTTGGCCATTTGTATTTCATCTTTCGAAAAATGCTTGTTCATATCCAATTAATAAGATACAGGAACTGAAGCAATAAAAGTGAAAGTCATGACTTTTTATGAGGCTTCCCTTTTGCTTGAAAGAATAAAGTGAAGGACTACTCATCTAGAACTTATCACAGAATGGAGAAAAGGTCAAGTGTAGATCGTCTTACCATTTTAAATAGAGTATTGCATGTGTTTGGCTCTGGCAGTGTTTATTTAAATGACCATAGCATTTGCCCCATGTTAAAAAAGGTACCACAACTCATTTCTGGAATATCACAGACTTCTGTTTATTTAGATATTGGGTATTCATGTTGAGGCAGCTCTGCAAGTTAATGTTTGGCTATTAGGAATAGAGCTTGAAGAATCAAACTGTTGATAATATATTTCACGCCAGGCATCAGAGGTACAAAGTAAATGCCAAACACATACAAATAAGAATTATACCCAGATTGTCACCCTAGACAGTAATTCCCATTTTATCAGAGTCAACTTCTCCTTTTCATAATAATCTATTTTTAATAGTCTTAAATTGAAGTAATAGATAATTATGCATGCAGTGAAAACATGGTGGTGGGTTAAAGGTACAACAGGTTAAACTACCACTTTAGACACCCATATACCATATCGAAATTCCTTGGTTCAAGTCCATCTCAGCCTCCGATCCAGCCTCTTGCTAATGTACACATTGAAAGGTAGATTATGTCTCAAATAAATACTCAAGTCCCTACCACCCATATGAGAGACTTGGGTGGAGTTCTCGGCTCCAGGATTCAGCCTGGCCCAATCCAGGCTGATGTAGGTATTTTGATGGGTGAACCATCAGTTGGAAGATCTCTCTCTCCCAGTCTCTTTTTCTGTTGCTCTGCCTTTCAGAAACAAACAAATAAATAAATCTAATGGTAATTTCCACAATAAATTTTATATCTACTTGCAAATCTATCATCGATCTACTTGATCTTTAAAAAGCCCATGAAAATTTGTATTATCAAAAGAATATGCATGGATTTCAAAATTTTTTGAAAAGCTTACTTTTAGTACCATTTTCTTTAACTTTTTGAAGTATCCTCAAATATTCCTCTATTTAAAGGCTCAGGCTCACTTACACTAAATAATATAGAATAGTTAGATGCTGATGTGGTTTGAATATATAGCCAAATTTCATTTATTATAAACTCTCTTGAGTACAACAGTATTGAGAAGGCGGAAACTTTAAAACATGTTTAGGACATGAGGGCTCTGACCTCATTAATACCATTATTTCAAGTGTGGGTTAAGGGCCGGTGCCGTGGCTCACTTGGTTCATCCTCTGCCTGCAGCGCTTGCATCCCATATGGGCGCCGAGTTCTAGTCCCAGTTGCTCCTCTTCCAGTCCACCTCTCTGCTGTGGCCCAGGAGGGCAGTGGAGGATGGCCCAAGTGCTTGGGCTCCTGCACCCACATGGGAGACCAGGAGGGAGCACCTGGCTCCTGGCTTCGGATCAGTGTAGCTCCGGCCATGGTGGCCATTTGAGGGGTGAACCAACGGAAGGAAGACCTTTCTCTCTGTTTCTCTCTCTCACTGTCTAACTCTGTCTGTCAAATAAATAAATAAAAAAAAATTCAAGTGTTGGTTAAACTATCGTGAAAATAGGTTTCTGATAAAAGGATGAATTCAGCTCTATTCCTTACTTTCTTTGTTTTTGCTCTCTTGCCCTTGACCATTTGCCATAGGATAACATAGCAAGAAGGTTCTCACCAGATGTAGGCCCATTGATCTTTGACCTCCCCACTTCCAGAACTGTTAGAAATAAGTCTCTTCTTTTTTTAATAAGTCATTAAGTCTCAGACATTCTACTGTAGCAGCACAAAATGAACTAAGACATATACTACAGCTGTACATAGAATCTTGAATGCAGAGGCTACAAATAGAGAAAGGGGCCATTGTTGTGGCATAGTGGGTTAAGTGGGCAATGATTTGAGTCCTGACTGCTTTACTTCCAATTCAGCTTTCTGCTAATGTGCCTGGGAAATAGTAGAGGATGGTCCAAGTGCTCGGGCCCCTACATTCATGTGGGAGACACAGATGAAGCTCCTGGCTTCGGCCTGGCCACTGTGGCCTCTGTTTCTCTTCTTTCTGTAACTTACCTTTCAAATAAATCATATAAATCCTAAAAAAATATAATGATGTGATTTATTCATAACTCAAATGTTAGGTCAGTGTTGTCATTGGTGATGTGATCTTCAAAACAGTGAATAATTCTTAAATCATTTCAAATCAAATAAAGTCTAATTTCTTCTGGATTTGCATTCTTGGAAATTTTAGTTTATTCAATTTTAGAGTGTGAAAGTTGCAAAAATATTTTATGTGTTTATATAAAAGGAGTTAGGTCCTAGATACAGGCATTTATAAAATTATCATAACCTGTTTCATTATTTGTGATCTGTAGCAGCTGTTGGAAAATTTTTTGTTGAATGAACACATTCTACCTTCCCACTGCTAGTAGTACAACTTAATAATTTTGGCAAGCCCCAAACATCCCTACTGATTCTATTACTACCCATGGATAATTGTAATGACCTCCTTTATGATCAGTGTTTCAGATGTTCATCATTACCCAGAACATAAATCACAATGTAGTTAAAACTGTGTAACTGTGTTATGCACAAGGACAAATGGGAGTTCAGAATAGGAATTGATCTTGGATAATTTAAAAATGCATAATTTGTACTCAAACAATTCTCTTTTAAGATTGCTTGTATATACATGCATGTTTTTTTCTGAAAGAAGATTTTTATCTCTATTCTGAATTAAACAAATGAGAAATGGAAGGTATTTGGGATCATACTTAGTATCTCAAAAATTTTATTTTAAAACTGTAGTGTCTCTTTTTCTAATATTTGATGTAGAGTCTGGTGCATGCTTATGTTCAACATGCAATTCCAGAAATGGCTTTTATTTTGGAATTGTGTTGTGCAGATAGCCATTACTGCCTGTGTGGTATGCCAGTCTGATCAATAGCCTGATGAGGCATGTGTGGCCTGCACTGCCCAGCCCCACCATTTTCAACCTAATTAGCAGCTGCTCAAAGATGGGAAACAGGTGCAGATCCAGGGCCAGACCATGGAAGTCTGCCTGTAATTAACAAGGAAAAAAGGGTCAGATATTGGGAAGAATATCAAATCGGCCCACTGGGGTTAGCATGCTGGCCTCAAAGGCATAGTCACCTGAGATCTTAAGCATGCTAATGTAAATTATGCAAGCTTTCAAACAACGTGGCTGCATAATCAGTTGGCAGAGTAGAAAATGATTTTTTTTGCAGTAGAGTAGGGAAAAGGGCATCTATAAAACTTATCTTTTTCTCATCATTTTATGGACTTTGGGGAGTGAAATATATAGAAGAAACAATGACATTTTCTGTGAGGCAATCATGAGTTGCTTAGAATATG